AATTCCTCGATGTCTTATTCCCAACTGTGAAGTACCAAGGAGTCTAACATTGCATGTATTCTATGACGCGAGTAAGATAGCTTATTCTACCTGTATTTTCTTACGAAGTGAGACCGAAACTTCAACTACCAGACAGTATGTTCAGGCACGATGTAGAGTTGCACCGATGAGATCTATTTCTATTCCGAGACCGGAATTTCTCTAGTGCAACATTGGAGCTAGATTAGCTCAGAGTGTAACTGATGACCTAAAAATGGAAAATGTGCCGAAGTGTTTCTAGACTGTCTCGGCAAACGCTTTGTATTGGATCGAGGGAAACGAAAATTGGGCTTCCTTCGTTTTTAATTAAGTACAAGAAATTCGTTCTATGACAAATCCTGAAGACTGGCATCACGTTCCAGGTGCATTGAATCCAGCAGATCTTTCATCACAGGGGTGAGATGGCGAAACATGACTAAAATCTCGATGGTGGGGAGGACCAAAGTGGCTGAAAAACATCCAATGGTAGAATGGCCAATTCTAGCGCAGTTCCTGATTTCGATATAATAAATTTAGAAAAAAGAAAGACCAAGCACAGTTAATCGCGAAGAGTCATCCCAGGAAAAATATTATGACCGATTCTCTTCATACAATCAGCTTCTTAGAGTCACTGCATGGATATATCGATTTTTACCATTTGTAAGGTTGAAAAGTCTAATCGAATTTCTGGATAAGGCAGAGATCGCGTTATTGTAAGTTGTATAGAAAGAATCATTTTCAGGAACGGATGATAAACGCTTGAAAACGATTCAGTTTTTCGTTGATTCTAATGGTATTTTGAAAGTTAAGATTTTAATCTAATGAGAACAGATACAAGAAATTTCCGATATCCGACAATACTACCCTGTAATCATCCAGTTACAAAAAAAATCATCCGGACCAGACAAATGCAATTGATTTTGGATTCTTAAATGCAGGAAGACAGTAAGAAATGAATTAGAACCTGTGTAAGATGTGAACGATGTAATTTGCGGCCTAAACTGATTATCGAAGCTCCTATCCCAGAAGATTACATAAGGAAGCTGCAGTTTTCGAAGTCTCAGGAATGGATTACGCTGGCCCATTAAACCTAAGAAATGGCCAGAAAGCTTGGATTGTCATATTTACCTGTACCATTTACCGAGCTGTACATCTGGAGTTAACTATATCTTTGTCGACAGACCAATTTTTTGCAAACTCCTAAACATTTCATCGCTCGAAGAGGTCGACCTTCCATCTTTTACTGTGACAATGGTTCTAATTTTTCAAGAGCTGAGAATTTGCTGAAGAAAATTAATTAGGACGTCATTTCCCAATACAGCGGATCTCAAAAGATAATTTGGAAACTTAATCCTCCATCTACCCCATGGTGGTAACTTTTGATAGGTATAATAAAAGGAATTCTACGAAAGTGCTAGGAAGAAGTTCACTAAATTTAGAAGAAATGAACACCGTGTTTTGAGACATTGAAGGTGTGATTAATCAGCAACCTTTTACCTATATTTCAGAATATGTTGATGATTTCACTTCACTTACCCCTTCTATGTTTCTGTATGACCTTAAAGAAGCAAGAATCTCAGATCTTGATGTTCTGGATTCGTCGTCTCTAAATAAAAGACATGTTTACTAACAACGTGTGAAACAAGATTTACGAAAACGATTTCGTACTGAGTATTTAGGCAATTTACGCCAATCATTGAAATCTCCTAAAAATCAGAAACATATCCAAATTGGCGATATTGTCCTTTTATCTAGCGACAATGTCAAGAAAATTGAATGGCATCTGGCGAGGGTGGTCGAACTCTATGCTTCTAAAGATGGACAAGTTCACCTGGTAAAAATAAAAATGAAATGCGGAGAATTTCTTCGCCCAGTTCTTAGGTTAATACCTCTTGAAGTGACTGATAAAAGTGACACCGTTATATCTGTAGTCGAATAGACTTCCATTCTTAATGAACCGAAGACTTCGGAGACCGCTTCTGGCAAGCCAGTACTGGCTCAAAAGATAACTCTTTCTAAGTAAAGAACTATTAATGACTTTTTTCCAGAGACTGTTCCTGAGAAAAGATCCAAATATGGACAATTAATTAAACCTATTAGAATTAGGGTTTGAGATTCCCTGGCTCGAATCTGAAAGGTGGGAATATGTTGCGATACGTGATATTCCCGCCTTTGAATTCAGTTTTTCGCAAGCGCAATCATAACGGGGTGAACTGATAAGAAAAGATTACGTAAGTTTTCAGCCTACGCTCGAAGAGTTATGATGTAATCTATGTTCTTTTTTGTTAGTTTTGTTTATGAATGTCTTCGAGAATTTATGTCTAATTTTGATATTTGTTATAACGTTTTGCAAAACTTATGCACAGATTAAATATAATTCGAAAAGCTGATCATGTACTCCTGATTGATGTTTCACGTAGTTTGAATAGTTTCCTGGACTATTTTGGATAATCCGGACGTAAACAACTAAAGGATCTCAATGATTCAGGTAAGTGCTGTTTTATTTACCTCCTATTCTAATACTTTCGCCGCAGAGAAAATATATATTAATATTGCCTTGGGAGACACAATATCCCCTTCAAAGATTCTTGAACTTTAATGGGGTACGAATAAAGATATATTCTGGTTTAATGCTCAGGACATTATAAAGATTTCATCCTTCAAAGATCTTCGATCCTCTTGCTCCATATGTGATTCAAGAAAAAGTTCTGTTTCACGATTTATGGCTTAAAGGCATTGATTGGGATGAAATTATCCCACCAGAATTGCAAGACAAGTCGAACAAATGATATAAGCAAATATGTGGTCTACCGAATATCCAAATACCCCGGTGGTATTTTCGTGATGTTGATGAAACGCCTGAAACATTGGAACTACATTGTTTTTGTGATTCATCTCAAATCTTACAGAGTATCCGTGTACGTGAAATTTCGTAGCTTAAAATATTCTGGAGCACGTTTTAGTGATAGCTAAGAGCAGAGTGGCTCCCCTGAAAAAAATTTCTTTATCAAGAGTCGAACTCATGGCAGCAGTGCTAGGTGCAAGACTTATAACTACAGTACGTGCGCATTTTCCTCAAGCTAAAATTTATTTATGGACTGATTCATTGTGTTTCACTACATAAAGAACTCACCACGGCGATGGAAAACATTCGTACAAAATCATGTGTCGGAAATTCAAGATAAAACACCGCCAAGTATCTAGCACTATTGTTCTGGATCAGACAATCTCGCCGACAAAATCACATGTGGTGTTAAAGTGAGTGAACTTGTAGTAGATCGAGTTTGGTGGCATGGACCTCCATGGCTACATCGAGGTGAAATAAACTAGCCTAAAATGAACGAGCATTGTAACATAGTAGACAATGTTGAAGAGAGAATGGAAACTCAAGTTACCAGCAGTGTTCAACCTTTACAACCTGTGTTAAAAATAGAGAACTTTGGTGGCATAAATTAAAGTAAGAGAAAATTAAAGAAAGAATTTAAAGTCACGACATAGAGTGATTGGTCCTGTGACCAAAACTGAAATATGTAATGCTATGTGTTATTGGATTAAGTTATTACAAAGTGAGTATTTTTTTGCAGAACTGAATGATGTTAAATGTAAAAAAACATTGTCTCAAAATTCCAAATAGCTTGGATTAAAGCTGATAATTGATGAAATGGATTGTTTAAGAGTCGGAAGTAGATTAGTAAAATCATTCTTCAACCTATAATATTACCAAATAATAAATAAATTCAACTTATAATATTACCAAATAATTATTTTTCTCGTTTAATTATTTTAAAATGTCACGAAAAGGTACTTCATAGTGGTTTAAATGAAACTTTAGTATAAGTAAGAGGGAAATTTAGTATAAATTATAGTATAAGTTAGGCAGAATTAAAGAATTATTTCTTGGAAGGCGTAGTAGAATTAAATCTTGTGAGATTCAGTTGAATAAGGGTTTTGTTAGAAGACAAATTGAAAGACTTTCTAATCTCGAAGCTCAGTAAAATCGATGCATTTACAGATGCATGGGGGGGAGGAGGGTGTTAAATGTAAATTTACGATTATGTATCCTCAGAATGCCAATAGATGGCGGTAGTGTTTATTTGTAAAACGAAACTGTGATGTCATAAATAAATATATGTAGCAGTTCGTCTTTGGTGTTCGTGAATAAATGTTGTGTAGAATGGGAGGGGCGGGCTAAAGATATTTAAAAAACAGCATATCTTTAGAATTTCCGGTAGAGAGTTTCGCGCACTAGAGATAAAAATATTTTATTCCGTACAGTGTGTTGCCGTTTTAAATCGTTCCGTTTCTTAATAAAAATTCTTTTAAGTTCAAAAAATATGAAATAGATAATAAAACAAAATCGAAATTCAAGATTCGGGCTTCCGGGTGCCCCTATTCAGGTGGAGGATTGTGTTATTCAAAATTTGATGGCTCTAGGTTTCGCTGTTTTTCACAGTGCGAGAAACATACATAGATTCATGCGGATTCTTCTTTATTTAATTCCTTTAAATATAATACAGGGCAATAATATTTGGTGGCAACAATTTGAAAAGACGTTTATAGTGATTCGACGCAAAATGCCATTTTGAGACTAATACCTTCTGGGCTAAGGCCCCATTGGGCTAATAATTAGAACTTCCCATCATGTAAAATAAGCTGACAAACTTGAGAAAAAGATGTAATTTGTTACTATAAGTCCGTTAAAAATTTAAAACCATACAGAAAATTTCACTCATTTTATACACTTCATTTTTCATCTTTAATTATATATTTGTTTATTTATTCTAAATTTATTAATTATCAAAATTCTACTTTAATTTCCGTACAGATGGTTCAATAAAAATAGTTCAATAAAGTGAGAAACCAAATTTTTAATAATCATCAGTATTTTAATTCATGTGAAAAAGATGCGTGTATATTTTGCATACAAGACACCTAAGCATAACTATCTGATGCAGTGTAATAGCAATATCAAGAACATAGAATATGTTTTTAAAATGTTTTATTTTATAAAATCCAGTAACAATGATTTTAACAATAGTGTAAAACTATTGTATGCCTTCTTGCATTTTCAAACTGAAATAACAATCAAATAATTAAATGAACAATGGAATATCTTCAATACTTTTTAAAAAATTTGAAGAAGAGTTCATATGTTAGATTTCCAACGACACTGCTGCTTTACGTGAAAATTTAACAGCTGAGAAATTGTACCTGAAGAAAAAAAAAAAAAAAAAAGAAACAGGCATTATTTACAAATAAAACTTTGCAAGCAAATTACTTTTAAGAATGCTTAGATTTGTTAAAAGAATAATACTCGGATATTAAAAATTATTAATTAAAATATAGGTAAGACTTCTGTTTATGTATAAATGACTAATGCATTCCATTAGTATTAGAATTGGTAGCTTTGTATCATTTGTATTTAGAACAAATATTAGTTTTTTTTATTAAAATGGCTTTTTAAGAAAGGTAATCCAGCTCTTTATAGAATCAATTCAATTAAATAGCCAGGGAAAAACTCATAATGAAACCTATCTCAATTTGCAAAGAATAATTGCATCCGTCCCATGCGTATACTGATAGTGTAAGTGGTTATCCCGTTCAGCTTGGAACTGGAAAATTCCCACTCCGGAATCCTAGCGAAGCTTGGTTGACATTTAATGGTTCTTGCTTTGAAAATCCAATGACACGTACAAATTCTTACGACACTTCTAATAAGAAACACCTGTACAGAGTAATATATCGCCCATGAAAAAGTTTATTGTCTTAATACATTTCCACTAAACAAAATTTTATTGTCTTAATACATTTCCAGAAAATACATTTCCACTACCTTTTAATAGTTTCCTCCTAATTATGATCCTATTAACCACAATATATTTTTGAAAGTAATAAACGTAATAGATTTTATCCTACGATTGTAAATGTCAGTCATTAGTAATCTTAACCTTACAAGTTTAAGTGTATAGGTTTACATGTTTGGCAAATAAATAATTCAGCATTCTTTTTTAGATGACAGCTGCTTTTTTTTTTTTTTTTTTTCATTTTAAGTGAGATAACATCAGTGCTGTCGCTAGGCACTGATCTTCTTCTCCTCAATTTTACATCTTCAAAATTTTTCCGTCTGATGCGGCCGTACTGGTCGCATTAGCTGCTATCCCGTCCTGTATGAAACCAACTTAGGGTAGAATTTATGATTGATTTACGAATGAATTACAGCATGTAAAGCATACTTTTACTCACGACTTCATGCTGACATCATAGTTTAAATTTGCAGTTCCAAAATTTCTAAGTTATCGAAAAAAATTTAGACTTAACCGAATTATAATGTGAAATGAGAACACAGTACTCATTTTAAATTATAATTACCTTTACAGTATGATTTCTGATAATACGCTTATAGCATGGTTTAGATTAAAATAGGTTAGAAATTGGGATAATTGCCACTTAAAACGGTTCCCCTACAGCATATTTTCGTTCAAACATTATGAAATACGTATTGCGATTCTTGGGTTATTGTTCGTTTTTTCCTTCAATTTTTATACATATTTAGACAGGTTTTGAATCCATACCTCTGTATTAAGAAAAGTTTACGTTTCATCCCCTTTTCCCCTTTTTTCCTTTCCTTTTTTTGGGGGAGGGACTATTTTGCGGCATCTAACTTAAGAGGAATTTTTAAAAAATACCCCTTTAAAAGGCATTTAATTTCAATAGAACAAAAAACAGGAGATATATTTTGAATCGATTTAAAAAAAAGGAAAGCATATTTTGGGAAAGATTTGGGAATATTTTGGTACTTGTTTGTTAGCTGGGTTGCAAAATTATTTCATGATGCTTAAAAGAAACGAATGTGATAAATCGCCCCACATGCAAATTTCTGATGACATTACATTTTTCAGTATCCCATTAGCCCCGCTATAGGGGATTTATCCGTATTGTAAATAATCTTAGTATTTAGATATTTAAATTAAATGACATGATGAACTGGAGTTTAAACATATTCGGAGTTTTAAAACGTTAAAAGTTAAGGTTAGCATATATAATGCGATTTATTATGAGATCATAGAAAACACAGACTTACTTTTAGCAAACGCATGCTGGGCATGGTCCACCTCCTGGCTTTATTTCTAGTCGACATTTTGCATCACACTTCGGCTGTGAACATTGAGGATCACATATGCAAGTATCGCAGCCATTGGAGCCAACCGCTTCGTAACAGTTTTCATCACATTTCACAGGAGAGCATTGGATTTCTTAAATTGAGGAGAAAAATGTATAATTCTATTCCAGATGTATATTCAGTTGAATAAAATGAAAATCACAATGAACGATTCCAAACAGATTTTTTTTTAAGTTAAAAAAGTCTCGTTAACGAAGACATTTAGCATACTAATAAAATCACTTTTACTACATAATGGAAAGTATAAACGTGCAGAAGAATAGAAATTACGTCCAGATATCCAGCAGTAATAGAATCATAACATTTCTAGTATACAATCTGTCAACTGCATAGTAAGATTTTATCTTGAGTAAGGCTCATACGATATCTAACTAAAGGTCTGGAATATGTCGTACGGATGCCTTGAATACACAGTCTGATGTATTCGAAAATCAAGTTTTCGCAATATCACATGGTCCCAAACAATCTATTCTGGAAGAGACATTGCCATGTTGTGTAAATAGTAAAAAGAGCGTTATCTCGGTATCATTATGATACGAATTGCAAATGTTAAATTTTGCATTAAACTAGTTAAAAGGCCGTGCAATTAATGAAGAAAATGTATTGGGATACATATTTATTTTGTGCATAGATATTAAGACGGCGTGTACAGGCGTGGTAAGGTCGCATGGTTAGCAAATAACGGCTAGTAGATAAAGATATGTATGTCTAGGCACTCAATTTCTGATTGCAACATGAGCATCTCACAGCCAAACTAAACAGCGGGTAAAAAAAGACAGTTTTGCGACAAAATTACTGCAGATGTTTCTGATAATAACAGAACGCAGTTCGCAGAATCTTAGCGGAGGATTTGAGCAAAAAGGTCGCATACCAATATCCGGAAACGTAAGAATATTCCTTATGTAGGAGACATTGTCGAAACTGTTCTCAGAAATAGAAGCTTCTTAAAACTGTTTGACGGAGGAGATAAAACTTGGTGATTCAATACAACTAAAATCAAGGTGCTGAATGTAAATCATCAGAATGTGATATTGCTTCTTTGAAATATGCTAAAGGGAGCTCTGTACAAGGCTTATCGAGGCAAAGGGATGTGCTTCGAATAAAATATTAATTATTTCATTGTTTTATTTATATTACATTTTAAGATAATTGTCTCATTATAATATAGATATTTCCGTTTTTAAAAGCAGGAATAGAGAGGGAAACTTGGTTCCTATTCCAAATTTTATTTTAGCAAGACAGCGAATAATATTCACTTTATTTTAAAGATAATAATTCCAAATGTTTGTTATCACGAGCTGTACACTCCTCAAGTCGCACACAGAAGTTTTGTAAAACACGCCGAGTTATGCCTCCAACATTGTCACGATCTCTGTAATTACCAGGCTGTCTCCAGCTGTGTTATGCCGCAAATTTTAATTATATTAATATGTGTTTTAAGTTATGACTATTCTGGTATTTTTATTTGTATTCATATATATTTTAATCCGGTAAAAAGAGATTCTTAAGTTGTTAAAGCTTTATTTAACTTGTTATTCTTGAGTAGAAAGTGTAACAAAGGCGAAAGACGGTTGCGAGGAAACATCTGGCTTTATGGTTTATGGCCTTTTTACTAACAAAGGGGGCAGTAGGGGGTTGTGAGTTCGCCTTTTACTAATGCCGTTTGTAACGAAAATCGTCTTGCTTTCGCTTTGTTATAGTTGCAGTTTTGTTTATTTCAGACAGTGGGGGTTGTTGTAAGCTTAGGTAATTGGATTCTCGTAAAGCTTAGTTTCCGCTTGTTAGTTGGGAGGTCCACTTTACTTCCCACGTTGTGTGTACAGATGGTTTTTGGACTTCATTGTCAGATTTTCTTGTTTTTGATTAGTTCTGGGGGTGTAATTTTCTCAGTTTAGATAAAGTAAATTTCTGGCATTGGTGTGATTTTAATTTTATGATGTTTTGTAATAAAATGAAATTTTCGGGGGGGGCGGAGAGGTTAATTCGGTGCGTTTAACTCGGTGCTTGCACCAGGCTAGAGTTCATTCGGATTTCTGATTTTCGAGCTAAGAGGAAGAGGAGAAAAGAGTGGGGGCTTGACCCCTTGCGGGTCTTGCTCTCGCGAGCAACGTGAACCTACGGGCTGCGATTATGATTGTAGCGGAGTTTGGTTTAAATAAATTTTGAGCAGCCGCGATGTGAAAGAAAAAGAAAAGATCGAGGGGGCGTTTTGCCCTGCTGCGGGCTTCCTGAGAAAGATGGCTTGAGTTGCGTTTTTCCCCCTTGCTCTAGTGGATGCATTCTTTTCTGCGAGATGTTTAAAAGTTTTGTGTGAGAGATGCAAGGAACATTTTCCTGCGAGATGTCTAGAGAAACGTGCGCTAGCTGCAAAGAGTATTTTCTGGAGCTGCAAAGATCATTTGACTGAGAGCTGATTACTACTTTAGTGCGAGATATAGAGCAATCTACCAAGAAAATTTAGCACAGATTTTTCTCTCTTCACCCGAATTACAGGTTTATCTCCAAGAGCCTTTTTCCTAAATATTCAGTATAAAATGTAATTCGCCGCTTCGATAATGCAAGTGATCGTGCTAAAAACTTGTGTATATTCAGCTACCTGTTATTGAATTGAAATAAAGATCCTTCTAAATTGGACTATTGGTTCCCACCTGATGGACAGATAAAGCGATTACTGGCTGTTTGAAGAATTATTAGACTGAAGATTAATCCATTCGTGATTTCTAATAATTTTAGACGCTTCCGAAAGGGTTGTGACAGAAGGAAAAATGGGCTTGGCTCATTTCCCTGTGGATTGGACACTAACGATCCTGCTACCCGGGAAAACTGCCTTCCATCTGTGAGTGAAAAAAAATTAAGATTATTTTCTCTCTTTTTCTTAGTTTTCACAATGTCGTGGTGGAACAGTTAATAATGATTTATCTACCATTTATATATTATCATTAATTATGTAAATTAAATATAGCTAGTTAGTAACATTGAGAAGTGATTTATAATTTCAAATTAAGGCCAGTTTTAGAAGGATTTAAATTTGTTTTACCTACTGAATTTGGAGTTAGAAAAATGTTAATTCCTAATTAATGAGAACCATTTATTTGGAAAATTAAAAATATGTTACACCTTCTTAATTTGTGAAAAAAAATGTTTTAGTTATTGAAAGCTGTAATTTTGTGTGACATTATGTGTTACTTTTCATAGTAAAATATGTGGCAGGATTACAGATCAGTTATCCAATATTTAGTAATATAATAGTATTCTAGAAATCAATAAATGTGTATGTTTAAAATTTAACTCCATTTTTTTATCTTGTGTATTTATTTTTTTTGGGTGGTCTGTCATGTCACTCCGTTTGTTTGAGCCGGGAGGCTTTTAAGAAACATGGAGCTTTATGTGTATTTGTGTTATTGTTTTTCCTTTTACTTAGGTTTTCTCACAATGCGAACCAAAAGTTAATTTGTACTACGACTATACGATTGCTTAATATGATATATGAATGTTATGATGATTATATTTATTTTTGAGTTTTTGTCCGGCACTATGAGACAGTTTAAGTTCAAAGTTATAAAAGATTAAAAGCCCTAATTATCAGAGATTCAACAGCTGTCTGTAATATATGTTAAAGATCTCATATTTTTAATGTTCAGATATCCCTAAAGAAAATATGCAATTAAGTCTCCGTCTGCTTCTAAACATCCTCTTCTCTCTATCAAGCCAGTCGAGCAGTCAGAAATTTTATTTTTATGTCATTACTGTATTTTTTGCCAAAGAGCAAACCTCAAAATTGTATGAAATTTATTCCTGGTTGCAACTTTATTGGAACTCAGTCCAAATTCATCATGGTTATTTTATGAAATTTATTTATTCAAATTTTTAAACTAAATGTATGCATTTGCTTTATTATTAAACTCACAAAATTATTCCTTATGATGATCTCAAAAAAGAAAAAGTTTCTGTCAAAACAATGATTTTGCAAATTTATTGTCTTTGGAAGATAGCGAAAATATTAAGACTTATCGACTGTCGAGATTAGAAACTAATCACAATACTTTGCTGCAAGGAAAACATATTGAAGTTCTGAGAATTCCTAAATTGAATCACATATGAACCACTAATTACGTTTTTAACTGAAACCTCTCATCATATTTTGACAGAAATTGAAACTTCACAATTAATTTTAATTGTAAAGTTTGAATTTCTGAAATTATTAGGAGTTGTAAGAAGTGTTTTATTTAAAATATTTAGGAATTAAAATTTCTGAAATTAGTATGTGTTGCAAGAGAACGATTGATAGCTAATAATGCAGGGTTTTATCACGTTAAGGTTTAGTTATGTAATAATATTCAACTGATATAGTGCAAAATGTACCTGTTGATGTTTCTTCTTTCTCACATCGTGGACATCTTTCTTCGGGAAATTTCTTTATCACATATCCCGGTCGACAGTTCAGAGGTGAACAAGGAATTGGATGACATATACAGCTAGGGCATCCATACTGGCTAAACCTCTCGAAACGGCAAGGAAGTTCACAATGCATTGCAAGGCATTTTACTCGTTCGCCTATAAATTTGCAAAATACACATGCATTATAGTTCATTATAAAGGATACTAAAATATTTATGCAAAATATGTCTCATTAAAATTATTATTTTTAAAGGTCAGTTGTAAAGAAAAACTTTGATCACGATAAACTGAATGAAATAAAATCTGTATAAACAGAAATGAAAAACAGAAATAACATTGAATCAGAGAATCCCAAAATCAACCATTTTTTGACTTTTTTACTCAATTTTCTTTCATTGCTTTTCATTCATTTGGAGGTAAATACTATTTTATAAACAAAGCAAATGATATGAATACATTGCCTACAAAAATAGTAGACTGGGAAATCTTTATCCAGGTTTTACGAAACAACATTCATAGATGAATTATTAAAATTAGAACTTCACTTCAGCTAAACGATTTTTGTGTAAGAATATAAAGCTACCAAAACCGGGAGGAACAAAGATTCAAATAAATTGTAAAGACTCCATAGTTCTTCTCATTCGACATTTTGCCATTCTATAAGGAAATTTGTCAGTAAATTACCATTCATTTTTTGACTATGCTAGAAGACAGCTGGGTTCTAAAACTGAAAATCAGTATTATATATGGAATGTTATGATGATATTTTAAAGTTTATATTTTTCCGTATTTTTTTTTTTTTTAATACTTGTGGGTTTAAAATATAGTGCCATTAATCTTTGTCACGCATTTCTTAATCTGCATCTATTTAACACATATTTAATAATTAAGATACAATAACACGCCGAACAAGTATTAATTTAAAAGTCAAACAAAAAAATTAGCGTTATATTTTCAAATTTTCACAGAACTAGTTTCAACGGTTTTACCGAACCATCATCCTCAGCTATAAAAGCGCTAATGAATGAGATAAGATATAGTGATTAGCTAAGATAAGAAAGACTGTATGGAAGCTAAGGTACTGGCGCCATCTGTTGATGAAACAAGAACTAAAATATAATTTCCTTTAAGGCTGAAGGCAAAGATGGATCGGAATTAGGGTCGTTAACTACTAGAACAGAAAGATTTTTTTGAACGTGAATTGCCTCTAGAAAATCTAATTCACTGATGAAAGATGTCTTTTGAATAATTTTGGCTTCATAAAAAGTGAAAATGTGATTTTCGGACCAACAATGCTGGGCAACAGAAGACTTCTGTGTTTCCTTTTTTCTGACATATGCCTCATATTCCTTAACTCGAAATTTTAAGGCTCTTTCAAGTTTGGCCAATGTAAATTAAACCACACTGGCAAGGAATTCTATAAATACCCCGAGAATTCATATTTGGAATGGGGTCTTTGAATATGGAGATCGGAATTTTATTGATGGGAGAATAAACGACCCAAAAGTTAAATATCTGTAAAAAAAGTGCAATTTTATAGCTGATTGATGGAAAGACGGGAATGACAAAAGAATTCTTATAATCTCCTAAAATAAGAGTGAGCCTTTTGGTGTATTGAGATGAAAATTTTTTAATTGTTAATTAAAAATTTTGGGTGAAAAGCCTCTGTGAATAGCTACTGCTTTTAAATAATTTAGTTCTTCATCAAGGGATAGTTTAGAGGAGCAAACTTTAAGTGCACAGAAAACACATGAATAAAATGAAGCTAACTTTTGTTTAGTTGGATGATATGATTTGAAGTGTGGTGGAAGGCAAACCGATGAAGGTTTACGGTAAACCGTAGTATTGAAGTTGAATGTGAACAAGATGTGAAGTTGGATGTGTGACAAGAATGTTGAGGAACGGAAGAGAATTGCATATCTCAAGTTCAAAAGTGAACTGAATAGCAGGATCAATGGAATTCATTGTTGAAAGAACTTTATTTAAATCATCTTTATTTCCTTCAAAAGGGGTAAAAGTATCGTCAACATAGCGGAACCATACCGGGAAGTTTACAATTTCAAATAATTTTGCTTCATAATAATGCACATAGATATCAGCCAGGGTGGGGCTGAGGGGGGCTTCCTACGGCTAATCTCTCAGTTTGCTTGTAATACTTATTTTGGAAAACAAAATGCGTTTGTTTCAAGCAGAGTTGAGTGAGGGAAATTAGCTCATCAATTTGAAATTGAAAATATAACGCTGTTTTTTGTTGTTTGACTTCTAATATTTAATAGTTTAAAAACATATGGATAAAAATGACAATTTATAGTTTTTTCTTAGTCATAGATTAATATGATTTAATATGCTTTTAAATAAAAATACAAATTTAAAAGGAAAATTATGAAATTTTGGCAAAGTATATAGATATTGAAAATAAACATATTGTCCAAAATTATATGTATAAAAATAAATTATCCTTGCCCCCCTTTTTTTACGAAAAGAACTGGAGTAAACATTATTTGAAAGAAAGCGTTATTCAAAATGGCTATGCCGCAGTTAGTTTGCGTATATAAACTTTGCTCTAGCTCTAATAGTATGATTTATAGGCGATATAGAATAAATTCACATCTTTCTTTTTATACGGTATTCCTATAAAAAGATGATAAAAATTTAATTTTTTGGTGTGCTTTTAACCAGAAAAAAAAAAGTCTTGTGACTCTCTCTTAGTTAATTTTATTTGATGCGCTTCTTAAACTGAGACCATGTATATGTGCCATGGATCAACCAATCAAAACCATTCAAGAAATATTTAGTCGTGCATTCTTTTTCAAGCATCAGTGCCCAGCGCTCTCAAAAATAGAAAACAAATTAGGCTGTGCAACTAATTCTATTTTTAATAAATAAGTAAAGAAAATTTAATAATAATTCGTAGGTGCTTGTATGAATAATTAAAAATTTAACAAGTTACCATCAGGCCTTTCATTTATAAATTACTCGAACCTGTTAACTAGTGTAATTAAGAAGGAAAGAAATTAACCTATTCATCCTCAGCAGCAATGAGCAAATAAAACGCATGAATGTTTTTTTGAATAGCAATATTTTCGTCCCATGTTTTCTCCGTATTTCCATTAGGTTAAAGCATTTTTATTGCTGACATTTAAAATTTGAACGTTACTCACCGACGCTTCCTCGGCAAACACAGGATGGACAACGCTCATTTGGAGATGAAGGAAATTGTTCCAATTCACAGCCAGGGCCACATTTCAGTTGGGAGCAAAACGGATCGGAAAATGGATTAAATTGAATCTGTGGTGCACGATCTATGGGAAGAAATACACATTCTATAACTATACAGAAGTATATTGAGAATATAAAGTTCAAAAGTTTAAAAAATCTGTTATTTTTTTCTGGATTCAAATATAAATAGAATGTTCATTCTTTGTAGCCAAAGCATGCTGTTAAAAATATGCAAAATAGTCTTTATTTAACTGCTTTTGATGCTTTGAAATTTAACTGAGCTATGGCATTATGCTTTATATGGAAATAGTTATGAAAACGTTTCGCTACTTAGTCATCTTTCATCTAACCTGTCACAATGCTTAATATTTATTGCAATGCTATTAGACTCCAAAATAAATTTAAATATCGCATTTTAAGAAGTTTTTGGCAAGAGAATATTTGAAAAGATACTTTCAACTTTTCTACATGTTTTTAAATCAGAACACAGCTATATTATTCAGTTAGCAAATACTATTTAATAATTAATACTATTTAATAATTAATAATTAATAATTTTGTAATAATTATTTTATAATTTTGTTTGTACGAATTCTTTTCAGTAACTGAAAATAAAAGGCATTAATTTCGTTTTCATTTAGAAACTGCTCAAAACTTTTCAGTTTTTGTATTTCCGTTCCCATCATTTTAAGTAATATTTTAGCAATATTTATAGTTTTAATAATAATCAAAGGCCTATTTACAGCGTTCACAAGCTAATTATTTTAATTATTTTTAGGACAGTAATTTCTATCACGGAAAAAAGGGAGAAAAATTGGTGATTTCTAAACTTTTGAAATAGTGATTTCTATTCGTATGGCAGTTCGTGAATCAGAAGACAATCACATACTGATAGAAGTGCACTTTAATTATATAACTGCGTCGCACAGACGGGAAAACGGTTAGTGTCTCTGACTACCCTGAGAGCCCATCCCGGAGAAGACGTGGATCTATTTGTCCGGGTGACCAGACAAAAGCCCACATGACAAAAGCCCACAAAAAAGACCCAACTGTGATTATTGCCCACACGACAAATACCCACACCGATGAAAGCGCACATTGATAAAAGCCCATGCAGATAAAAGCCCATATTGATAAAAGCCCATATTGATAAAAGCCCATATTGATAAAAGCCCACATAGATATAAGACCACGCTGATAAAAGCCCACACTGACAAAAACCCACACAGATATATATGTTACTTTAAAATTAATATTTTTCCCTTTTTTTTCAGCTAGAAGGCAATGGTGGCTTAGATATTAGGTGAATTCGTAATAAAGTGACCACTGCTTTCAGCCTTAGCCAACGTTTACAGCTTGAGCCCGCCATTTGGAGGAAAAAAGTACATAACTGAAGGCAGTCCTAAGCAGTCACGTACCAAATCGCAAGAACTAACAGTTTTTTGTCATTTATGTGCAATGAGAAAAACAAGCATGTTTGGAAAATGAATTCCACCGAAGGACCAAAAATTGCAATCCCTTGCTATTTGTTCTTCATTTCTTCCTAGACACCAAAATGACCTTTTCTTGGATAGAATAACTTCAGGTGATGAATAGCGGATGTTGTGTAAAATTCCTGCTTGCAAAAGGTAATACTTAGGAGCAATAAGAGGAAGTAGTATTTCATAGTAAAAAAAGTTTTATCATTTCAAATCATCATTTAACGAGGATGAATAGGTTTAATTTTTTATGAGCTTTATAAAAAAACCTGATGCAACAATAGATTCCGAAAATATACTTTGCTCAGTTCTTTCATCTGCGACCATTAACTGCAGCAAAAATATCTATAACAGGCAACAGCAAAGTAGTCCTGTTGCTTGATGAAAACTCAGAGATTACTTCTTCGCAAAAATCGAAACGAAAATCAGATATTTCGATTAGGATTACTTACTTCACGCACTTTATAACTCAATTATATAGTACTCAGATTATTATCTGTTTCGATCAGTGTAACATTTCTTAGATGATGAAACAATTCATGACACGCAATGTGATATCTTTCAGCATCTGGACTCGAAGACACTGGAGTATTTCAAAAATTGCATGAACATTCTCGATTTTTCCAAATGGAAAAGTGGTATAGATAATGATGATGACTTTACTGATTAACTTTTTAATACTGTTGTTTTTTATACTGCTTCAAAACCTACAAAAACGAAAGACTTTTTTTAACTTGATAAATATTTACCGAGAAAAAAGTATTCGGCGAGCATTTAAACTTCATACACAAATATTTGTTGTCAATATTTGAAAATTTATAATTACAAATTTCCGAAACTAGTATGCTTTAAATTTTTTAATTAAAAACATTTACATATATTTTTTATTTTGTTTTAATTCTTAACGTTTCAGAGACTTATAATACTAAATAATTCTCCGCCCTCCGGAAAAGCCTTTGTTTTGAGGCAATTAATTTTCCCTAATTAATTCATCTCTTTCGAGATGATATTTAAAGATAATTTACCAGACAGGATTTCATTTATTTCATTTAAATGAAAGTAAAGGGCGTTACACATAATTATCGGATTTTAGTTCAGATAAGTAGCTAATCATGGGCCGCAAAAAAAACTAAATTTGGCAGAAAATATTCTTTCAAAATTTTAGATAGGAAAATCTAAAAGTTTTAGAGAATGTTAGTCTAATGTTAGTTTTAGAGAATGTTAGTATTGTTAATAGACAATACTTTTTATATTAGAAGCATAATGATTATGTTATTTTTAAGTCATTATAATGCCTAAAGTCTTCATCTTTGAAAACAAGAAAACGGTCAACGTAGTATGTAAGTAACCCTTTTTCCACGGTAAACGTAATAAGTTATTACGGATGGTGATCAAACTGAATAAAGAACTGAATCTGAATCTGTAATAAGACATTCTTGCAGAATCAAGTTGAGGTTCCATACGCAGATTGAATGAAACATTTTATATTTCATAGAAAATGGATTTCATGACATATTGGCTCCGAATGAAAGCACTGTGAACATTTTACAAAAACCTCTTAGCGTATAAATACATAAAAGGGCTTCACGTTAAGTTACATGAAATGAACCCAAAACTAAAAGCTTTCTTAGATGAATTTTTGATCGCAAACATTAGAAAGGAGAGGATAATAGAATGATCAGTCACCTATGTTCATACACAAATTTTAAAATAATAACTTTTGTTTAGTAAGTTGTAATATTAATGTTTTAAATTAGCACTATTACAGAATTAAAGGATACCTAGGCTGCAAAGGGCAGTAGATTAATACATCTACGTCTTTTATTGTATCGAATTTCTCAGTTTATTCAAATTCCTTTTATACTCACCAAAGAAAAATACATTAAAAAAGAACAGTTGCAATCTGGTGTTTACTTACATCTCCTCTGGTATCTATCACAAACACAACTTGGGCAAGGATCTGCATTGTAGTCTATGCGGCAACCAGGTGCACATACTGGAGGAGAGCATAGTGGTCCGCAATGACATGTTGGACATCCATTGTCTCCTATCACTTCATGACATCGAGAATCACATTTGACAGGAGAGCACTGTATTCCTGTAGACACTTGAAAAGCAGAAAGCACTTTTAATTAAGGTTTTTAGAAAGAAAAATCAATCTTTCTTGACGTATAATATGCACAGTAATATGCCTTTAAAATTAGAACAGATGGAATTCCCAAATTAGCTGTATGAAGTTATAAAAAAAAATTCTATCATGTGATTCAGACAAAACGTAGTACGAATCATTGCAAATGTCTTCCAACTATGCATTAAAACTACACTATTTTAGTAATCACCTTGGACAAGTGCTAGATTTTGTATACATGTTAAACACTTAATGATATATTTGTATAACAATAGAGTGCTACTTTCTGATCGGCTCAAGTAAACTTAGAATATTAATACACAAAATAACATTAAAAGAGATGTCTTTATGTTATCCTCTATATTATTATTTTCTATTTGATATACATTTCAAAACATTTTGTACAAAGTGAATGCCTTTACCTGAATCACAAGTACAACTCGGACATGGTTTCGTTGAATAATCGAGACGGCAACCAGCTTCACATTTGGGTGGAGAGCACTGAATAACTGGTGGCACTAAGAAAATATAATTCAGATGAGGAGTTCAGTTAGATAATAATTTCCTATCATCGGGAAATTTTAAGTTCTTTTTACTAAAATTAACTTTTATAACTAAACTTTTCATTAAATGCGTTACTTGTCAAAATCAAACGATATTATGATGAATATTTCTTAAATAGAAGAACACTAAAATAAAATTATGCAGTTCTAAATGGTAGTGTTATTAGTATTTAGAATGCTGACTGAAAACTGATCTTTAAGCTAAGCTCTGTAGTTCAGTACGTTATAAAAACATAGTTGCAAATCATGCTATTTCTTACTTGAAGCGAATTCTGCTGACTTGATTAAGGATAGGCAAGTATAAAGAGCAAGAAATATTTCTTAGATATTTTAGCAGTAGTTGGATGCACTCATAAGAGAAAGTAGAACAATCGCCTAATATAGGGGTTCATAAAGTTGCGCCACGGCACACTAGGGCGCCGTGAAGTAAGGCCAGGCGCTTCGCCCCTGACCTTGCTTCACGGACAGACAAGACTTGCGTTAAATGTTCGACCATATTTTGCATTAATTATACTTTCATTAATATTCTTCATTCATTTTTATTCAATTTTTAAAATAATATTTTTTTAAGCTTTTTCAATATTTATATTGCTGTTGTTTATCTAATTGCATTTAAGTTATACTTTAAACATTTCTATTTCTTCTTTCAATTTAAAATAATTCTTGTTCTCAATTTCTTTTTTTTAAAGCACCATTTTATTCTATCACATATTCTTTCAGTTAGCAATAATTATATGTTGTGGCGTTAGATTTATACTCGATTATTCTCAAACATTTTTTGCACCTATTACTTTATGTCGCAAGATTGCTATATCTGGCTTCTCAGCACTGACATCTGTTGGCGTGTCTTTTTTTTCCTTTCGCGACTGTCAGAATCAAACTCATGAACGGATGAGGAAAGTTGTATCATCTTATATGTCTGTGAGAAAACGTCATGATCTCGTCGAAATATTGCAATAATTCGACGAATCCTAACTGATATTTCACAAAATGATCACTTTCTCAGTTCAAAATGCAAAGATTTTTATTAAACGAGCAAACCGACAGAAACGATAGTTCAAGTTTGAGTGGCGGAGGAGAAAAGAAGCAAAAATATCGTAAATACAAGGAAAGTTAATTTGATTTTGGTGTTACTTCGGTAGACGTAAACAGCGATGAAAGACGACGATGACAGATGTGTTGCGTGTTAGAAAGTCTTTACACTCCATAACAGAAGAGCTCATTCTACCGGCTGCTGCTGACGTAATTAATATTATAGTGGAAAAAGGTGCTGGAAAACTCATTTCTTAGGTACCTCTACCCAACAAGACTATTAATGAAAGAATTCAATGTATAACTCAGGATCACAATAATCAATTGATACATAAAATGAAAGGAAATGAATTCGGTTTGCAACTAGATGAGGCTACTAACAAAGATACAAATCTTATGTATTATGAACGCTGCCTTTATAGTAATATTTTTATGATTTTTGAAAATGCAAAGAGAGAAAACTGTTTTATATTGGCTCATGACAGTGGGTTTAATTGTTCTAAATATGAGGGTACAAAATGAGGGAATAGTGTGCACATTTGTGTGAACAAAAGGGATAAATTGATGACTATGAATGGATTTGTCAAAAGCAAGGTAGTGTGAATCTACATGATGTTTGTAAAGAAGCGGTTTAAACACGGTTATTTCACTTTGTGTCTGTTTTAGTTTTGCAACGGTCATTTCTCTTTGTGTCTATTTTAGTTTTGCAACGGTCATTTATTTCTCTTTGTTTCATTTCACGGTCATTTCTCTTTGTGTCTATTTTACTTATTTATTATTTTTTAAATGTACTTCTGCAAATTCATAAAAATACAGTAAAACGTCAACTATCTACATTCCAGGTATTCAAAACCTAAATCTTTTGGTTTATGGCCTGTAATTTTCTTGTTGACAGAGTTCATCACTTGAATGTAATTTTCTTTTTACATTTTGGACAGTTTTGTTGGCTGTCATATGGTTTATGATATTAATTTTTGTGTATTATTCTTGAAGATCTTCTATTCTAAAAGAGCAGCACTACTAATGCAAAACCTCAAGGCTTATTCGAAATGATAGACAAGTTTATAACGGAATATCATTTAGATTTGAAAAAGTGCATCAGTGTACGTACTGATAATACTAGATCAGCGTCCGGTCGCTACGAAGGACTGCAGACACTTATTTGCAGCAAAACACTGCATGCTGTGGGGATCCACTGCACTATCTACAGCGAAGCAGTTGCATCGAAGTCGCTGAAGTCCTCGGTTGAATTTGGCATTAGAATGTGTCATAGACGTAATAAAATATATAAAAACTGAACAGCTGAAACCAAGTTTTTTCAAAAAGCTATGCAAGGGCATGGAAGCTGAACACATGGCCCTGACTTACTACTGCATTTCGCGATAGCCTTTCGCATGGCAACTTGCTGTCTCATGTGTTTGAACTGCATCATGTAAGGCATCAAGGCATTAAGTGTTTTTCCGAACCAGACATTTTATCGAAGCTAGCATACTAAGGCAACATTTTTGAGAAACTAAATGTCTTGAATCTGATTCTACAGGTTAATCTGTACATCTTGAAACTTGCAGGAAAGATTTTAGCATTTGGGAAGAAAATGCAGTTGTCGATAAAAAAACCTGAATGGCGGTGGGGCTTAAGAGTGTTTTTCTACATTATACCAATACACAGCTTCTAATAAAATCAATGCTGTACATGAAGTTTTGTCACTTTTCATAAAGCACCTTTCAAAGCTCACTGACTGGTTCGCAAAATACTTTGCGGAAGATAACGTAGGGAAATTTATGTTAATCCAAGATCGTTTTCATCTCCAAGACCCATTTCATCTCCAGGACTTTACTTCGCATGACTAAAAGAGTTTAATTGGACTTTCTTGCGACAACAGCCTGAAAACCAAAGTTGCTTGTTCAGATTTAATGGAATTTTGGATTTCAATCAAAATTGTGTATCCAGCTCTAAGGATCCTCATCCCCTTTGTTGTATCCTATCTATGCAAAACTTGATTTTCGGCTTTCGCTATAATAAAGATTAAATATTGCTCGAAAATTAGTGTGGATCACGAAATGAGAATAGCTTTATCAAGCCTTCTGCGATTTTAAAAATTGCATGGGGATCAACAAGCTCACCTGTTACATTGATTCTCTAATTTAACATTGAAGGTTTCTTTTATTTGTGTTTGATTTTTTATCAATTAAAATTACACTTTTTCATTAAAATGTTATTTTCATTTCTGTTCCTAATTAACGTTATAGTAAAAATTTTGCAACCGGGGCTCTGTGAAAGAATATTAGAATTGTAAGTCCGCAGCTTACGGAAAAATTTTGGGAGCCTTTGGCCCTAATACATCATAAAATATCATCTCAAGGATTTGGCAGAAATTTAAAACGAAGTATTGATCAGTGTTATTCAAGATGGATACTGAAGAGACAGACTATTGCAACACAAAGTATTAGAGAATCTGATTTGATCCTGTTATCTCAAATTAAGAGGAGCCATACTACAATCACTATCTTAACGTTTTGAGTTACATGTTGTAAGGATCTTAAGTTTTACTGACGTTTATTTTATTTTAAATCTTCACTATCACTTCTTATTTTCTACTTCCGGCCAGAATTAAAAGCGTTAACTTATTTATGCAAAATTTGTCTGGCGAACGCCAAGTACTTAAGTTGTGGCCTTTTTGCCAAGCGAGAGAGAGAGGAAGCAGTTAGTCGAAGCAGGCCGCTTACCTTAGAAGTTTTACTCAGTTGCTGGTTTGCCTTCCAGGCCAGAGGTTTAATCCTCTTGATAATTTTAAACGTATTATAGTGTTAACAGTTCTCTGTACTACATACGGCTTCCTGTTAATATAAGGCCAATCTTCCACGTTTATTATTTCAAAGTTAAGAGTTTAGTTATATTTTCATATTCTTACGTTTAGACCACAAGTAGTGGGTCTTTGTATTCCGAAGTACGGAAATTATTGTAAAGAGAGAAAAATAAAGGGTTTTGCATACCCTTCTTGTGTATCCTTATCAGGTTCAATGTTTCTTCTTACCTTCTTCGGAAACATACAATGACCTGACTAGAACAGAGAGCTTACTAAAGCTATGTTCACTAATTGTAGTAAGTAGACAGGATACAGACGAAGGGAATACAAAACCCTTTATTTTTTTTTTTATATACAATGACTTCCGTACTTCGGAATACAATGACCCTCCACTCGGGGTCTAACGTAAAAGATATCAAAATAAAACTAAACTCTAATTTAACTTTAGAATAAGATTGGCCTTATAATAACAGGAAGCGTATGTAGCACAGAGACTGTGAACACTACAATACGTTTAATTTATCAAGAGGATTAAAACCTCTGGCCTGGAAGGCAAAGTAGCAACTGCGTAACTTCTAAGGTAAGCGGCCTGCTTCGAACTCACTGCTTCCTCTCTTCTGCTTGGCAAAAAGGCCACACTTAAATACTTGGCGTTCGCCAGACAAACTTTGCATAAACTCCTTCACGCTTATAATTCTGGCCGGAAGTAGAAAATAAGAAGTGATAGTAAAGATTTAAAATAAAATAAACGTTAGTAAAACTTAAGATCCTTACATACTTCCCGCCAGAGTTAATTAGTTTGAAACTGAGGTCTAAAACGACCTTGTTGAAAACTTTTAGCTCTAGAAACTAACGCGAGGCCAACCTTTTACAATCATAACTTAGCTAGAAACTAGAAAATTTAAAAGAAAGAAATTTGTTACAATAGCAGCTCCCGGGATATACAACAATCTTTTTTTTTTTTCATCTGTACTGCATCTAAACAGGAGCTTTATTCAATTCTGGTTCCTTCCAGAGATCTGGAAGGAAAACTAGTTTAATGAAATGTTACAGAATGACATTGCAAATAACATATAGAATATACTTCTCTTAACATTCTTATTTCATTCATGACTAT